CTTCAGCTTGAGATTCTCTTGGGTGAGCTTTTCCTGACAATTAGTGAGTTCATCAAGCTACTTCAGCTTGAGATTCTCTTGGTTGAGCTTTTCCTGACACTTAGTGAGTTCATCAACCTGGAACTGCAAATTACTCATGGCTACACTAAGCACTTCCTTCTCTTTTAAATGGTTGAACTTCAGGTTCCTGATGACAGTGCCTTGAGCTTTTGTCAGGTTCATAAGGACTGCATACTTATCTTGCAGCTTGAAGATCTCTGCCTCTTTCTTCTCCATCTCTGTCTTCATATCTAAGACAACTGAGTTGGTCACCTCTGCTCTCCTCTCCTCTGCACTCTACATCTTAGACTGCAAATATCTAAAATCCATGACCCTATCCTCTCGGGCATTGAAAAGTTGATGAACATCTTCAACTAATTTGTCATAGTTGGCCTCCAGTCTATTTTTCTTCTTTTGTTAAATGGTGAATAGTGAGTGAACTCTCCAGGTTATCCTTACTACTATCACTCCTGTTGTCTTGATACATTTCCCATAGCTTCAACAATGCATTCTGCATTGTAGGAGGCCACTCTGGGTCAACCCATGAAACAAAACCACAGTTCTGACCTTCCTGCAATATATTCAACACTTATATTGTTAAATAATAAGATTGTAAAGAACATCACAACTACACTAAATATTACAATTAAATAATATGATTTTAAGTAAAGGACTAAATAACAACAGAACTATCTAACTGGATTTCGATCAAATACTACAATTAACAATGACCTAAAGAACATCACAACATGTGCACTACAACCCAATCTCATATAGCCAATTTATTTAATCACTACAAAAAGTACAACAGCTATAAAGTACTCATAAAGCACTAAACAATCACATAGATGTCCTAGTAAACAATGATGTGCATTGGAAACTAAGCTCTTGGCCACATATAAAATTAACACATGCCTACTCCAATGATCAGCATCAGTGCATCAGTACTACTAATTGGCTAAGAATGACAATCACAAGAACAGAATCTTAATTGGATCAAACTACTACCATTTTTAATAGTATGGTGCTACTACCAACTCATTTTAATACAAATAACATAGGAAGTGCAGAATCTTACTTTAAGAGGAAAGGCTAAGAACCTCCTTCCCGTCCCAAATCCCTCAAAGGCTACACGCCTTTCACATGGCAGCCCATGGTGCTCACAGGGAACAATGGTTCCAGTCTCAATGCCCATGTAGTCTTGGTCTTCAATGCTGGCAGGGATCTACAGGAGCAAAATGAACCAAAACCCCCAAATCAAAGATCAAATCCCCAAAGCAGAAACCCTAATCCTAGCTCTAGCTCCACCACTCACTCGGTACATCATGTCGTCGTCATCGGAGGAGTTCATGTACTGCAGGCTGGAGTAGTCGTTGCTGCTCTCATCCTCGTGCACCATGGCGTGGTTGGGGTGGGGGATTGCGCGGCGGTCGGCGGCGAATCGGATGGCGAGAGCTCGAGCGGGGCGGGGGCTAGGGTTCAAGGGGAGTGAGTTAGGTTCGAGGTGGAGTTGGGTCCGACCGAGGTGTATAGACCGAACGAGTCGGGCCGGTCCTAGTCAGCCGAGCGCTGCGCCGGTTCGCCAGCCTGTCACCTGACAGGTGGGGCATGGATGTCAGATACAGCGTTATCCGATGCTTATCCCGTTTTGCAATGATTAGCCTCAAACGTGGTATTGACTTGCAAAAAATCTGAATAGTGGTACTGATCCATTACAACTGCCTCAAGTGTGGTACTTCCTTGCAATTAACTCCAAATTAAGAGATCCACAATTTCAAATACCGGATATTACGTGAGGGTGGGAGGGGTAGGGTACATTCCCACAATTGAAATCACGGAGGATGTGCACAAGTCGGCCCGTAGGGAGGTTGCTGTAGGTTGCAGTCAGTAAGTACATAATTTTGTTCTTTGTATTATGGGTCTGTCTAGAGCACATCTAGAAATGCCCTAATTATTGCACATTATCTAAATAACTCAATTAAAGTGGAAAAAAAAGAAAAAGACAATAAAAATGTTTACACAAATCTCTGCGTAAAATCAATTCTAGATGTGCTTTAGCAAAACTGTTGTATTATTTCAGGCATTTTGACAATGTGGAGAGCTAAGGATAAGGGTGACCGGAGAACTAAGAGCAACTTCAATGAGGAGACCCATTTTGGCATTAGAAGTTGCTCTTAGTTCTCCGGCACAAGGATAAGGGTGACCGGAGAACTAAGAGCAACTTCAATGAGGAGACCCATTTTGTTCAAATGTGTCTGTTTGGATTTATGTGGGGAAAAATCATCACCCAACACACAGACCCATTTCAAACTGCCGCTAAAAGTCCGTCTATTACATAATAAACTAAAAATCCTAGATCTACTGTCCTTGTCATTGTCCTCGTCGCTGACGAGGCCAATGTAGATCGGAGGCGGCCATGGATATGGCCACGCTGGTGCAGTGGCCATGGCCACTGGCGCCTCCTGTTGCTCCTACTCCGGCTCGGCATGCAAGGGAATGTGAAAGTTCACGTCCACGTGTGCCCTGCTAGCCCTTGCAGTGGCCATGGCTCTGGCTTCGGCAGCGGCGTGGGGGCGGGCGCAATGGCCTCCAACGCCGATGTGTGGAGCATCAGTGGCACAACTTAGGCCATGTCGCGAGCTCGCCCAGCTTGGAGGCCTCGAGGGCCTCATCGTCCTCGGGTGCTGGAGCACAAGGTGGCGCTGGCGCACATGACGACGTTTGAGCATGCTCCCGCACGAAGCATGGGCGATGGTTCTGGGCGTGCTCATCCACAAACCATGTGTCCTAGTAGGGCGAGTCCTCGACGAACATCGAAAAGTGGACGAGGTCCTCGGACAGTAGATCCCTACGACAACAGATCTCCAACGCACGTGGGTGACCGAAGGCCGAAACGGCTGGCGGTGAAACCCTTTCCAAGTTCAAGTGACAGTCGTCTGGCAGATGCACGTCAGGCCATGGCCATGGGATGGCCACCTCCCAGTACACATCAGCCATACCTGGGTGGCACAACCCCCAATGACATCACGGTTAACGAGGCCACATGGCGGCACCCCTATGAGCCAGCCACATGGCCGTGCTTCCTAGGGGTCCACTTCCATGGCATTTGCACCGTAGATGGGCGATTACTATGGCCTAGGGTTTGACGGACTACCACGTGCTCGGTGGGTGGTCACCACATGGTCCATGGGCGGACATCAAGTAGTCCGTGAGAGCAACTCCAATGGGGCGACCCATTCCGTCCGTTTGGGTCATCCGGACATAAAAGCTGGCCCAACAGGGCGACCCAAACGGACGTCCGTGTCCGCCTGCTGTCTGTTTGCCCTCCGCCCCGACCCAAATTGAACGCAAAAATGGGCCATGAATGTGTCCGCGGCGGACAAAACGAGCGCTCTTGTCATCCGCTCTCGTCCGCTGCTACCCTCTCGTGTCCGCCCCTGGACCCACGTATCAGTGACACAGCACGTCCCCACCTAATCCAGCGCCGCCCACACGCGTCGTCCCACCCCTCGCCGGCGTCGAGGCCCATCTACCTCCACAACCGCTGCAACGAGGAGCGAGGCCACCGGCGCAGGCCGCCACCTACCGCGGGGGAGCAGCTGGCGCTGGCGCTGGAGCTCATGGGGGGAGGTGCTGCAGCCCGCGGCGGAGCGAGCCCCCGACTTCAGCGCCGGCAAGATCCTGCGGCGGCGCGAGGGCGGCGTAGGGGCGGCGCGACGAGGGGCGGAGGGCGCGATGGGGTGCCCGCCGGGGAGGAGGAGCGGAGGGACAATGCGAGAGGTGCCCGCCGGCGAGGAGGAGCGGAGGGACGATGCGAGAGGTGCCCGCCGCCGATCCAGAGGAAGAAGCGCTCGGCGGGGGACCTCCAGAGCCCCG